TATGGTCTATAGGGTCTGAAATATGAATTTGTTAAGGTTTATTTGCACTTGCACACAGTTTAGGCTGAAAAATGTATGGTCTGTAGGGTCCAATCTTTGCTTGAATACTTGTTTGTGAAAAATTAATGATGAAAATTGTATGGTTTGTGTGTGTTGCATACAGATAGACCACTATTTGCAGTTTTGCACACAGTTTACGCCACTATTTGCACACTGACAGGCCACTATGTTAATAAATCTTCAGTTTGCACATTATGAAAAAAGTATGGTTTGTGTGTGTTACTGGATTATGGAGTTTGTGGGTTTCGTTAATGATGGATTCTTATTTTTGAATTATAAGTATGGCCTTCGAAGGCAGTTCCTCAAGCACCTGGACATTGGATGACGTCGATGATATAGTTACAATCAGAGTAGTTAATCGTCGTAACATTCATGGAAGCACAACCACTACCCGTACGGAACAAAATATCAGTAGCCCCGAAAATGTAGTGGACAATAACAATCCACTTCACATGAAGAAGAGAGACAAGACATCAGTGGTGTTCACAAAATTTAGAGAGGTGGTTGTCCCTAGTGATACAAAGAAGGCGGAGTGCATCCACTGTAAAACCAAGCTGAAAATGACTACCACGGGAAGTACTACCCAATTTAATAGATATTTGAAGAGGTGTGCGAAAAGATCAGCTTTCTTGAGGCAACAACAAATAAAATTTTCCCCCTTCCAGTTCTCAGGGTACATCTATTATCTTGTCTGCTCTATGAGGCCAGTTCGATATGCTTAAAATGAGGGAACTTATTGTCCATTGGGTGCTAATGCATGAGCATCTGTTCACTATTGTGGAAGAATAGGGATTGAATAATATGATAAAGTATGGGATACCTAAGTGGAGTCTTATTTCGTGTAACACTTGCAAGAATGACTATGTGAAAGTGTATGAAATGAAAAGCAGAAGTTGAAAACGGTACTAAAGGGTGTGAGAAAGATCATTCTTACCACAGATCTATGGAATTCAGGCAATCAGAGGATGGAATACATAGTGTTGACTGGGTATTGGATTGATGATAATTGGAAGTTGAATAAACGGGTTCTAAATTTCATTCATTTGTTTCCTCCCCGTACTGGTGTTGCCATTTCTGATGTCATTTTCAAGTGCTTGATGGAGTGGGGAATTGAAACTAAGGTCCACACAATCTTAGTGGACAATGCCTCAAGCAATGATGTTGCAATCAAGGTATTGAAGGAAAATTTTCAAGCTACGGGGAAGCTCATATGTGGGGGCAAGTTGTTTCATGTGAGATGTTGTACACACATATTGAACTTGGTTGTTCAAGATGACCTTTATCAAATTAGACACATTATTGAGACATCCGTGATAGCCAATTATATATCAATGCCTTTTTTTAGAGATTATTCAGTAGCTGCGATTGTCGTCTCGCAAGCTTATCCTTGATTGCAAAACACGATAGAATTCAACATATGATATGCCGACAACGACAATGAAGTTCAAACGTGTTTTTCCTAGATTGAAGGAGAGGGATATGAGTTACCATTATTGTCATAAGGAGGATGATTAGGACAAAGTAGAGAAACTTTGTGATATTTTGAAGGTGTTTAGTGGTGCGACCAATCTCGTATCAAGGAGTGATTATCTAACATCAAACTTGTTTCTAAAACAAGTTTGTATAATCAAAATGATGTCAGATAGTAAGAGTGAAGATGAAGATGAATTTATAAGGGTCGTGGTTTGGAAAATGAAAGAAAAGTTTGACAAATATTGGGGGGGAATGTAATCTGCTGATGTTTATGGCTTTTGTATTGGACCCTAGACTGAAGAAGAGGGTTATTCAGCGGTCGTTCCCTAAGATGTATCTTGACCCAAAAGCATGGGCAAATGTTGATACTGTTCGGGATGCCTTGTATGAGGTATATAGAGAGTATGTTGATGCTAGTAAACCATTGACTGCTTCCCGTGCTCCTACATCAGGAGGGGATGGACTTGAGGCTGTTGGTGTGGGGTTGGGTGCGACGACAACCAGGCCGGAGGATTAGGATGATTTTAGTGGCTTTCTGAATGTGGTTGAGACGGTTGAGCCAAGTAAATTAGAGTTAGACTATTATTTGGAAGAGGGATGCCATAAATGTGTCGGGGATCCTGCGGCGTTTGATGCTTTACAGTGGTGGAAGGAAAATTTAATGAAGTTCCCAATTTTGTCTACCATGGCTCATGACATATTAGTCATCCCTATCACTACGGTTGCTTCTGAGTCTACTTTCAACTCCAAGAGTAGGGTTATCGACACGTACCAATCGTCGTTGGCTTTCGACATGGTGGAGATGCTCTTATATGGATATGATTGGTATCCCTCTTTGAATGGGGTGAAGAAAGTGTGCAAAATAGGTTATATTGAATATTGTTTTGATTAAATTGAGTAATTACATTATCTTTATTCTAACTAAACTTTAATTACTCCTCCTTTGTCATTTCAGGAAGAGCAGCAACCGTTGGAGATCAGACTTATCCCATAAGTTCCTGGGAATAAGATTCAGTACATGGTTTGGCTGTGGCAGGAGGCATGCACAGGTACATGGTTTATGGGTTATTTTATGGTTCTTGACTTGTTCTTTATGCTATGAAAATCTATTATATATTGTCTGTTTGTGTTGTGGAAGTTGCTGGAATTCGACAATAGAGGCCATTTGAGTGTGGGGAAATAGTTGGGGCTGGAATTGGGCAGTAAAGGCCATTTGGGCGTGGGGAAATAGTTAAGACTGGAATTAGGCAGTAGAGGCCACCTGGGTGTGGGGAAATAGAGGCCAATTGCTTGATTTTTCTTAATTGAATTGTGTTGGTGAGTTGTGGATATTGGTTAGATGAAATTTGGGCAGGTGTTCATTAGTTAATTGTGTGTTGTAATTGCAGGTGAAGGCTAGGTATCTAACAAATTTTGATGGTGGTTTTGGTACAAGACATGGACAACACATCTATGTAACGCCCCACTTGAGGTACATAACTAAATGTGTATTGTTTTGCTCTTAATTGAGTTTGTATGTTGTCATTTTTTAGTTGGTTGGCTCTTGGTTGAAATTATGTGTTGGTTTTGTTGAGTGTTTGCCCTGAATTTGGCGAAGTCTTGCAGAATTTTGAAAGTACAGACTTCTTTGTGTCGCCGCGGCGAAGAGCCAACTGAAAAGTTGGGTGAAGCTTCTAGAGAATTTTTCATAGGGGCAAAGTGACCATTATACCCCTAATTAGCAGGAAAAGTGGGGAGTGAAATGCAAGAAAATTTCATGGAGAATGTGTTAGAATTGGGGGTGTGAGTGTAATGAATTAAAGGATAAAGATGAAATTTTTAAGAAAGAACAAGGGCAAAATGGGAATGCATGTGTAAATTATGAGCTAATAAGGGTTTGGGTTTAGTAAACCTAAAGAATGTATATATTTAATAAAAGAAAAATTTGGGCCCAACTATTTATGTGATCATACCTGTACTTGTATTTTTATTATGTATACTTGTAATTTATTACGTATATTTTATGAGTATATAAGTAGAAATGAGTCATTACATTTTAGTAGAAAGGAGTCATTACAATCTACATACTACAGCCACCTCTATTTTGATTATTGGACAACTATTATTTTGATGTCCTGGATTGCATTTTGACGCAAACTTAGTAGTAACTGCTAGATTAAAATTAGGACTATATTTTGATACAATCACATGTTAATATGTTATAGTTTTTGTAGGTCAAACATTAATTAAGTGAAGTGAACCAAAATAAGAAATTTAGTTCACTTAAATTTTACATACAAAACTATCATAGTTAATATAATTGAGGATGCAATAGCTATTTTTGGATGCAAAATTGTATATTTAAAAAGGTTCAGGAGCAAAAAACAGCCTACAAGGCTGAAATTGGGGGAGGGTCATGCCCAGGCAGTTTAAGCCTTAACCAATCTGGCTCGAATTGGAGCTCTCAAGATAGCTCGAGCTCAAGCTTGTGAGCTTGCTTGAATTCGACTCGTCTAGAACGAGCTCGAGTTCGAGCTCCCTTTCTCTGACTCAATAGGCTTGAGCTCAAACTTGAACTTGGTCTTGTAACATGCGAGCCGGGTTTGATAAGTCGAAAACTCGGCTCGACTCGTTTACAATCCTATGACTGTATTGGTGGAGAAACGTAATTCTCTCCACCAACATTGACACAATTTTTATTGGACTATAATAAATTATAAATCCCGAGCTTGCTTTAATAATAATAAAACAATTCTTTTACTTGAGTGGATATTAACTCGGTAACCTTTGGCCAAAATTTACTGGTTGATTATGCAATTATGTGAGAGCAAATCTTTTCATAATATATAATATAGTAGTACTAAAGTCCACTCAAGAACAACTGAAAACTTGCAAATATAAAATTACATGATACATTAGATCAATTAAATAATAATGGGTTCAATTTTCTAAGCAATTTGTCACAAAGTTTTTCAGTGATTCATGATGGCGAGAGGGACTGCTTTGCTTGTCTGTAGCATAAATAATTACATACTATTTTTATTCTATTATTTTATTTGTTGATTTCTATATACGACCTTGAATGATAATATCATAATCCTAAGTTATCTTATCATATCTATAGATAAAAATTTGATAAAAATAATATTATCGTTGAATTAGTGGATGTCAATATGCCATTCCCATTTCCAAAGGTTTCACCTAGTAAGATACCCACTTTTAAATTCCTAATAAAAAATAAATAAATTATATTTGATTATTCATAGAATAAACGTCAGAAATGAATGACTTATAAAATTTGTCTTTCCTATACGACGTCGCTTCCTCTACCTATTACTAGTTTATCATCATCTCATCATTCACAGCTCACCCCCGCCTTGAAAAACTTTTGAAAAATATGAACACTTAACGGAAATGCGGACATTTTACAGGCGTCATTATGTAAAAAACCAACTCCATAAATACCAATCGTTCGTTTCCCCTATAAACATACGTTACCTCTCTTCACAACAAGCCCTACCTTCTTCACAACACCCACCGCGGCTAACCTGATTCAATTCTCTACTCATTTCCTTCCATTTCAATCCTCATACAAACCCTAATATTCTTTCTATCTAAAATTTCATCTCTATATAATTTGCTTACCTTTTCATAATCCTAACATTTAATCAATTTCCATTTTCAAATCCCAATAATCTTTTTCTGGACCCGAACTTTTCTCTTTCCACAACCAATCCGTCTTCTCGGAGCTTTAATTCTCAAATTTTTATCTTTTGATGGCGGTTAATATTTTGTTTCGTTAAAAAATTGGGTTGTTTGATTTGTTTAATAACTATTGTTTTTGAGTTTCTCTTCTTGTCTGTCCACAAACCACGATTTGAAAATTTTGGATAAAGTATTATTTAACCCTCCAGATTCAAACAATTCACTTTCGCCTCTGAAACGGGACTTCATTCTATTTACACCCCTGTTGTTGATCTAATCGAATTCAAATTTATACCGGAAAGGAAAAAGAATGGTGGGTGGTGGTAGCAGGAGAGACGATGGATTGGTCATCAACAACAACAACGTGTTCGCAGCGCTGGAGAGTCTGAGGAAGAAAAAGAAGTCCGATAAAGAAAGCGGGTCTTCCAAAAGCAGCGGCAAAGGGTCTTTCAAGTCACAGCAACAACAGAACAAAGCTCCCGAGGAGACTCCGGTGTTTTGGGCCCCATCCCCGTTGAAAGTCAAATCATGGGCTGATGTTGATGACGACGACGATTATTACGCCACCACGGCCCCACCCCAGTCGGTCTGGGGATCGTCCGAGGAGGCGCAGGATCACGAGAAGCTTACCAATGTTGAGGTGATAAACGGTTTCGTTTTTACTTTTTTTTTTCTATTGTGCCTGCCTATTTCAGTTTTTTTTTTTTTTAAATATATTTGTTATAGATCATAGTTATAGGTTTTTATTTATGTTTTAATGCACGTTTTATGACGATTTATACATATTTTTATTTTATTTACTCTTTTGTGAATTTTGGCTTTTTTTTAAGGTTCGGTTCTGTTGTAATATATGACTTTTTGACATTTTAAATTTATTTTCATGTATGTTTTGTGATTTATTTATGGATGCCTATACCGTCATTTCATTTTGGAGGTTATAATCTTGATTATTGTGGAACTTGTAGTATCAAATTTTGGCTAATGCTAAACACATATGTGCATGTGGATCATGTGCTGGTACTATCATTGCCATTGTCAGGCTAATGGGATGAGCCTAGAGTCTGTCGCTCTGCGCTTGCCTTTTGGGTTATCGTCCTTCAAGTTTTTACAAGATTTTAATTGTGATAGAATGTTACAACTGTTTGAATGGGTTAGGGAAATATTCAGTGATGCTTTTTGACATGCTAGTCAGTTACTTGAAAATTGACTATCTGAGATTTCAGGATAGTGAGAGTGAAGAAGATATTCTAGATGAAGGCGATGATGATGTTGAGGAAGAGCATGCCCACGAACCTGAGGTTCCAGTACACCATGAACCAGTGGTGCAGACGCCTTCTGAAGGTTCTGTGTCATCTAATAAGGAGACAGAGAAGCAACTTTCAAAAAAGGAGAGAAAGAAGAAGGAGCTTGCTGAGCTTGAAGCTCTTCTAGCTGATTTTGGAGTTGCCCCAAAAGATAGCAATGGCCAAGTTGAATCACGTGGGTAATCGTGACTGCTTATTTTCATGTCCTGTAAATTTTTCAATCAGCAATCATCCAGGGCTGCCCACTCATCGCAGATGAGAAAACTTCTCTTCATAGTCTGGTTACAATTATTTTCCTGTGGATGGTTATAAAACTTTGCTTCTGCTGTTCTTTTCTTTGTAAATAGAAAAAATAAAAGCTGTGCCTTTAAGTATATTAAGAATTTTTATAGTACAACAATGTTTTGCATATTTGCTGAGCAAGAAAGTTTTTTAAACTTGCAGAGGATGCACAAAGCAAGAAAGATGGGGAACCCAACAAAGAGGGAGAAAAGAAGGAAAATGCTCCTGGAGAATCCAAAAGTGCTAAGAAGAAGAAAAAGAAGGATAAATCTTCAAAGGAGGGTCAGTCTAATAATTCAGATGTTGCTAACGGGCCAAATAAAGTGGCTGGAACTGAGCAGGTACAGCAGGATGCATCTACTGTTGATGTGAAAGAGCGTTTAAAGAAGATGGCATCTTCAAAAAAGAAGAAATCTAGTAAAGAGATGGATGCTGCTGCAAAAGCTGCCGCTCAAGAGGCTGCTGCAAGGAGTGCAAGACTTGCGGCAGCAAAGAAGAAAGAAAAGAACCATTATAACCAGCAGCCAGGGCGGTAAAAAGTAAAAACCATTTTATTTCACAGGATATATGAACATGTATTTCTTGTTCATATAAATGACAAGGTGAAATTAAATGGGGTGGTATGTTACTGGTTTCCTAAAAGATGACATATTAGTTGTATTGCCCATGGACTAGAGAAAGTTCATTTGGGCATTTTGGGTCTTAATTGTTCTGTTGTCATTGGACTCTGATTGTTTTTTTGGCAGTTTTGTTCATTCCAGATTCTTACCTCAGTAGTTGTTGATAACTGTATTGAAGTACTTCTCCCAGGGTCTTATTACTGATCAGTTCTTGTGGAGGGACGGTCAAATGAGAAATTTTGCAATTTCTTTTTTATGTCTGGAATTCGTGTTTTCGGTTTTTAGTTCAAGGGGCGGTGAGTAAAGATTGGTTTGTGAGGTTAAACTTAGTTGGATGTAGCAAATGTTGTCGTTGAAGTTTGCCTCGAGTTGTGAGAAATATATAACTAGTATTATGTGCTTGATACAGAGGTCTCTACTAGAGATTTATAATTTAGACGTTTTTCCACAAATAAAGGTATATGGTTAATTAAGTGCAATTTTATGCATACGAAATTGGGATACTAATTTTAATATGGCAAACGAAGATGAGAGTATGAGGCACAATTTGTCTACTGTCAAATGGGTTGGAAACTTGGAATCCTAACACTGTACAAATGACATTACTGATTAACCAATTGGGTTTATTGTGTTCGATGATCAATAATGTATTTTGGGATTAATATAATTATAAAATAAAAAGATAGTATAAAAGTTGAGATCCCAATTTTATATGAGTAACGTAACTGTTTAAAAAGTTGAAAATATGAACAAGCTTATTTATTTCTGAGAAAAGAATAAGGTTATATACGCTATCCACATCTAATTTTACAATTCCAGTACTCTGTTGTCTCTATATTTCTCTTTTTTTCTTGGGATAATTTATAAATGGATTTACATTTTCAGAAGATACATTTGGAGAGCAATAATTTATCAAAATATAAAAACGAATTCATTTGCTGAGATATGCTCCAATGCAAAAAAATTCAGCAGGCAGAGGATGAGCAATGACTCAGTCTTGTGATGTAGCAGAATATTCAAACAGAAGACGTTTTGAAGGAGCAGATTGTAGCAGCACTCTCAGGCGGCTTGTCAACTGGTAGATCAACGTCCATTGCATTGCCATCTCTGAGTCTTTCATCTGCCGAACTATCGAGGCCTAAAAAGAGGAGAAAAAATGGCTGTTTTAGATTATTATAAACAAATAAAATGCTCTTTGAAATAAATAACAAACATTCAAGAAATGAAAAAACATCAAGGCAAGATAAAAACTGTAGCATGATGACCTGTAGACGTTTCCCAAGCTGGACTTCAACTTCTGTACCAAATGAAATATTGCTGGCCAGAGATTTGAGAGGATCAATTGTAGGATCAACAGAAAGCAAACTAGGTATTTGCGGAGCATATACCAGCCTCCACCTGGCCTGACCAAACTCTCCCTTCCCTTCTATTCTTGGCATTAGTGTTTCAAGCGTTGCAGTAGCGAGCTTTTTGAAAGCAAGTTGGCCATCTCCTTCCAATATTGACTCTGCCAATTGACTCTCGAACACCCTAGCAGCCTACGAAAATACAATGAAGAAATATATCGTCAACTTGGCTGATAAGAATTATTATCTGAATCTTGAAATTGAAATTGAAAACAAGACTTAACTTTATCATAAAATTTACAGCAAAATGCTGAAAAACAAAAACATATGGGGAGGATTCTAACAGTCCACAATATTCACTAGTGTCAAAGATTGCTGTGTAACTAGACCCCTTTTACAGGAACAACTTGTCCATTCCAAACCAATATATACCCTTTAGGAAGCAGAGATCGCTATGTGACGAAGACCAAAGAAAAACTTAACATGAACAACTTTGTCTACTAGCCAAAAGAATTCACACCCAACCAAATCCTACAAGCCAGATTAAAGCCCCTCGTTGTGACTCCTAAAACTCTCATTACACTGGCAATATTCCACAATTAAACTTGAAAATTTGTTTGGCAAAGTGTACATTATGATTTTTCATTTGCTCCACCATTGATTGTCAGCCTTTTTATATGCAAGGGAAAAATTATCAAGTTCATTTAAATGGTTCAAATGAATGCCAGAATACATACAAATAATTAACATATTTATTATCAGAAGAGGGGGAAAACTCTATTACACAATATGCATTTTGATCAAACCAGATTCGATTTCATACCTTAAATTTAAGTAAACTCTATCCTAGCACATACACAGGATTACAAAAAATAATAATAATAAGTTTCAAAGCTTACATTACAGGTTGAATCCATCATTTCAAGCACAACCTAAGGATATTGAAAAACGACCTGACCATGGCATTTGAATTTATACCTCAGTAGGTGAGAGAACATCCTGTTCCACAGAACGTGTTGATGTCACTACAATTTTGTCCTGCCAATTGCTGGCTCGACTTTGAATACTGAATTGCCACTCTGATCCCACCAAAGCCAAGTCTAGCATTGGGTCTAATCCATACTCAGGCTCAAATTTTGCTATATTTAGGTGCTCTCGCTTAAGCCTCACCTAAAATTGGAGATAGCAATTAAGCATATTAACCAAAAACTACAAGCCAGCCTATTATGATACACAGAAGAAAACCAATGCATAAAAGATACTTAACTACAGAAGATACTAAAATATGAAAAAGAAAAGAACACTCACTTGTGTAGCAACGAGATTCACATCACCATTCTCAAATGTTAGAATGCCTTTAGGCTTTATCCACTTGGGATGTGCTAGACCATTTAACTCAAGCTCTCCACTAACAGCAAAGTTAAGAATCAAAGGATAAACTATTCTTAATTCTGGTCCTAAAACAAGCTTTAAATCACTTAGGCGGATATCTACACTGGGTTTAATGTTAACCTGCTCCATTTCCTTTTCAACTTCACCTGATTTAACTGCAAACAATAATAGTATACAAAGAAAAAGAATTTCAGAATTTAACAACAGAAACCACAAAAAAAAACATGAAATATGGACTAATCATAAAACTATATCAGATTGTTAGCCATATTATAGATGTTCATATATATTCAATTATGCTAAGCAACAGAAAATAGAAATTTCAACTTTGAGGTATCTCCACAACGATTGTATATTATCCTTGTGTGAAAATCATTACACTTCAGATTCAATTTGGCAAAGTAAAAACATCGTTTTGACACAAAAAGATAAATTGTCACAGGAAACCTATCACCAATTCATAAAATAATATTTGAGCAAATAATCAAATATAAGCAAGGATTTGGACTGCTTATCATTGGTAGTTAGAGTTGCTAGATATAAAAAATCTTAAAAAGAAAGAATGGATGTGACTCGGATAAACATATAAAATAACCAGCAATCATCTTGACACTGGTAGATCATGAACAACACAATTACAATGCAAACAGAAGCTGTTGAGAATTGAATAGTACCAGTTGGCTGATGGAATTTTGCACTTGAAGCAGCAGGTTCTGAACTAAAAAAACGTGAAACATATCGAGAAGCAACTGCTCGATTGATACCACCAACTGGAAGCCTGGACTGATTGGACTCCAATCTATTGAAAGGAGCAGTCCCGTTACCCTTATCATGAGGTAGATATGCTTCTCCATGGCTCAATTTTATATTCCCCGAAATATTTGGTTGCAATATAGAACCAGTTATTTGCATCTGAGTGTCAACCTGACCACTGATTTTGATGAAAAAAATAGGTTAGAGCTAATATCTAAATATAATAAGGAGATAAAATAAGTCATAAAAAGTACGAGATAAGATGATTATAAGAAAAGGAAAATCAGTAAACAATATTAACAGTGTAAAGACATCTTTTATCTTCCTTCCAAGGAATAGTAACCACAACACAAGAACCAGTACACATTCAGGAACTCAATTATGTAAAGTATCAATGGATGCACAAAGCAAAAATGCCCAGTAGTGGATGAAGACTGATGCTGCAAATGAGGCAATGTGTACATATGTTAAAGAAACCCGTTGCTAGAAGTTAAGTCACCTTAGAATGTTCTTTGCTCGTACTTCCAGAACTTCACATTTCAAGTCGATTTTGTCACCAAGGGATGCCTCATTCATTCTCAGGGGCAGATTCCCTTTCATGAACAGCTTGCCCCTTCTGCTTACCCTGCTTTCCAATGAAGTGATGCATAACCTATTTGATTTCACATGTACAGTTCCACCAACGTTTGTGAGAGGTTTCCGGAGTACTGGTGAAGATATTGATGCCCTGTGGAAGGATGCAGACCCATCAAGCAGAGGTTGCTCAACTGTGCCTCTGACCTATTTAGTTGAAACAAATCACAATCCTCAGAAGTGAATATCAAATCTTTCCAGATCACAGTAGCAGTCTAGCAGACAAAACAATTGTTCAAAGAGTATAATTAATTAATAAATTAGCCCATAAGGAACCTAACCGACCTGAAGCATAATGTCAGCATTGCCATGAAGCCACTTGGCATAAGGAGACAAAGCTGTCAGCATCATCATGCCCCCGTCCTTTATATCAGCATCAACTCTCACTTCTCCTACATCTAAGATGTTCCAATTTAAACCTTTAAGGCTTTCAGCTAACTGAGTATCCCAACCTTCTTCATTATAATCTCTCAGGGTTTTCTTCTCACTGGTGTCATCAACAGATCCTCTACCCCTTTCCTTCACCCAGCCAGGAACCCAAGCTGCTCCGATTTTATCTGTTTCTGCATCTTCTTCCTCTGTAATGTTATTTTGGACAAAAGTAACAGGAACGCTTCCTTGTATGTGTACATGGCCATTTTGGATGACTGGTTCAAATTTTGCATTAAAAAGAAAACGACTGGTTGAGGTCAAGGAAGCAACAATTTCAGCTCGTCCAAGATCAATGCCTCCAATGGCACCATCAAGAAGCCTTACTTGCACATCACACTCTGGTTTAGCAAGATTTCCTCTTAGATCTCCTTCCATGTGCAGTATACCCCTAATCGGTGCTAACAATTGCCGCAAAGAATGAATGGCATCAGTAGCTGAAGATTCAATCACCTGAACAACAGTGGGGACTAGACTAACAGGAAAATTAAGAACAGCAAAATGAAGATTGGTTTTTGGCCCCAGCAATGTCCCATCAGCATGGATCGTCGCATTATCTTTTTGGATAAAAATTTTCTCAAGCCTCAGACCATCATCATTGCTGTATGCACCAACTGCCAGAACATGCTGTGTTCTGTAGGTTCCCCATTCCCAGTCCTCCCCATGAAAGTCAAAATCTGCCTGAGAAAAACATACAAGAAGAAAAACAATAATAAAAGAACATATACTATAGGCAAGGAATTTCACGAAGGGTGAGACAATTTGGACCAAAAACACTGCTCTTAACTTTGCACCCAAAATACTGCTCTGAACACCCATTTTCTAAGTGTACACTCTGAACACCCATTTTCTAAGTGTACACTATTAAAATTAGATTTATATTTAACATGTTTTATAATTCTAACATAAAAATAAATTGATTAACGCTCAATTGAACAAAAAATATAATTAAAAAAAA